CGAAAAGCACGTGGAATAGCATTCCCATGGAAGTTTGGTGTTTTAAGGCCATATGCTTTCACTTAAACATGTACAAGCAGCAATACTTCTCTCGTTTTATTTATTGTAAAACTGTAAACTATGGCAAATCGACAGGTTAGACGTCATCTTAGTAAAGATGAGATGAACATGGGTATTGGAATGTTGGAGACTGGCCGTTCACAAAGGCACGTTGCCCATGCCTGAGCGTTGTCTCCAAGATGTGGAACCGATTCCAAATGACTGGAAATGACTTGCAGGGTCACGCAAGTGGTCGGGAACGTCCAACGACTCAAGCCTAGGACCGATGTATTGTCCTTTAGGCCAGACGCCAACGGTTCTCGAACGCTACGAACTTACGTACCGACTCCCAAAATGCAACTGGCGTGCGTGTAAGCACACTGAAACAGGTAGTATGGTGCTGGGTCGAGGTCACGGAGACCAGAAATTCGCATTCCTTTGCAATGGGCGCAGACTCATGTCGCATGGACAGTTAATGATTGGTTACTGATGAGTCAAGGTTTTGTGTGGACTTCACGGACAGACGTACTAGGGTTTAGAGAAGTCCAAATGAACGCTTAGCTCCAGCATGCGTAACACGACCGTTTTCGACCGTTTTGGCGGGGGTTCAGTCATGGTGTGGGCGGAAATAAGCACTCAGGGGAAAACGGACCTACACATCATTGAAAACGGTATACTGACGGCAGCAAGGTGCGTCAATGAAATCTTAGACCTCCATGTACGCACGTACTTTGGTGCAGTTGGCCCTGATTTCATTCTTATGGATGACAACGCACGTGCACACAGAGCTCACATCACAAACCGATATCTTGAGGAGGCAACTATAGTCCGCATGGATTGGCCAACGAGGTCCCCAGATTTATTTCTTCACGCCACATCCAACCAACAACAGTTCAGGAGCAAAAACATGCAATCAAAGAGGAATGGACACAGATTCCTCATCACAAGGTCCACAGGCGATGCCAGGCCGTAATTAATGCCCGCGGACACCATACTCGGTATTAAACACCCTACGCAAACCATTTCCTGATTTGCAAAAAAATTTTATTCCACTATGTGATCTCAAAATTGTTGATTTTCTTCCAGCACATTCTTTTGCAACAGGCACACGTCAAGGAACACTTCCATTGTCATTATTTTAATAAAAATCAATTCCTAACTTATAATATTTAATTCCTTTTAATAAATTTTCAAATTTATTACAAATACACACAAGTAATGCACTGTAGAAAAAGTGATCCTTAGCAAATTTTGAGTAGTGTATAAAGTAAAACACGACAAGTGTTTTACAATTTGTAAGGACTTCGGATTTCATTATTGAGATTGATTTTTTATGTCAAAGAGAGAGGAGATAATAATATTATATAACACAGACTGTCAAACATTCTTTTAGAGATTTTATTTTCATCTGCTTTGTAACATCCACCTTAAATATTTGTATGTTAGGATCTTGTCTAAATTAAGTTATGTTTTTGTTTTTTACCAGATCAGTATGGTGAAAGATCATTTTGGTTATCCTTTATTCTATTGTTTAAGCTAGACTATTTGGAAAGCAGTGTTGGCAATTTTACTTACCCAGGCATCGGTATTAGCGTCCAGCTTTCATTTCCAAACTTATTTGAGGGTATAATAGGAGGTCACTGTCCAAGAGTCATAACTCTGAAAGGATTTTGACAGAATTGTGGCTCTTTTTGAATTAAGAAACTTTTATATTATCTAGAATCATGTTTTACTATAAAGCACTGAGAATAATCACACATGCTATTTTACCGACAGCTATTGTTTTTATTATGACCGAACTTGAAAGAAAATGATTACTAAAAGATGGAGGCTATTCTGGGACAAAAAATAACCGAGACTGGTTACCGCCATTTTACAAATTTAATAACAAAGTGGAGGAAATATTTGCCACGAACATTTACAATGTCGTTTATTTAAGAGATTGAAATGTCCAGAAAGTGAAAATAAAATAATTCTATATAAGAATCATCCTGTTGATTAGATATATTTTCAACATGTTTTTCATAGACTTTGTCAACACGAATTAAATATGAGAAAACTTTTATTTAAAAGCGATTACTGCTTTATATTTGAGTCATAATTATTGCTATTTTCAAATTAATCTAATTTACTAAAAAAAACGATAGCTTAACTTTTAACCTATTTTCAAATAACCGAAATCACCGGAAATTTATGCACATGTACCGTAACTACGGCATCTAAACATTGCGGTTATCGACACCAACATATATAGTGACTGATAAGAATATCATGATTTATCATTAAAAAATTTTTAAGAAAGCGACAGTTACCTGTCTCGTTACCCAGCGATACTGAAAATTTCAAAATGGATGGACTGTTTTCTTACAGACGTTTGAACAGAAATGTGCAACGTGCAATAGAAAAAAATCAACTTTGCTCTCTTTCGTGGCAAGAATTAAAATCGATTGACGACTTGCGTTTGCAGCAGAATAAGTTTGATTTTTTATTTGGTGATAATCCAGACAAGACGAACATTTCCGAAACAACTTACGATCTTCTTAATAAGCTTGGATATTCGAAGAATGAATCAACAGACAGGGTGAGAGTTTTTAACAAAATATCGGAAGCAATGAGACGGACTTTTATTGCACTCTCTGGTTACACGCATATAAAGAAAATTCTGGTCGGCAGCAAACGTGAAGGGATTTCTCTTCTGAGAGAAAGTGATACAGATTTAATGTTTGTATTTGAGAATATTGTGTGTATTGAGACGAAAAGATATCATCCTCAGAACGGATCGGATAAGTTGTTAGTTTACACTGATAATCGAGAAACGCCGCCTGGATATACATTAGTATGTCTCCATGAAGATATTACTACCAATCAAAAGTTTGTTACGGAATCGGTAGTAAGGAAGAACGAGAAACTGTATCTATCTAGTAGCTTATTTCTTGAACAAAATGGAAACAATCTACGCACTAATACAGGTTGGATCGGAAGTTTATCTATAAGGCTTCCAAGGCGTGGTCCATCTTTACCAGAAACGCTGAAAACAGCCGACTGGTATGATTATATTTTGCAATTATTTACTGGAGAGTCTTTAATCAGCAAAAAAGATTGCACTCCAGCTTTGGAGTTTAAATCCGCATCTGCTGTTAAAGAATGGGCAAATAGGAAAAGATCTTACAACTGGCCTACCACAAAAATGATCAATCACGCAAAATCTATCCAATTGTTCCTCGTTCCAGTCGGCGAGAAAGGATCACCTGATTCGGATTTACAATGGCGTATAAGTTTTATCCTGATTGAGATATATTTGGTTCATCAGTTTAGTGATATGCAGATTAAAGTTCTTGTTGTCTTGAGGTGGATTGCGCAAAAGGTTTTGAAGCCTATTTACGAAGAAATGTCTTCATATGTTATGAAAAATATTGTGTTTTGGTTGTCAGAAACAGCCGACCTTAAAGAAGGAAGTATTTTGGATCATCTGAAAACTTCGCTTACTCTGCTACTCAAGTTTGTGAAAAATCGACATCTGCCTTGCTATATGCTTCCCAAAAGAAATCTTCTTGTCTGCATGGATGATGAAACACATGCTTTACTTGCGTGGAAACTAGAGTCAATATTAAAAAATGAAGTCCTGGAAGCATGTAAATGTTTTGTTTGGGATAGACACTTTGAACCACTTTGAATGCCTCTCGAAATCCGAATTTTCTCGCTACTTGAAGGCCTCAATAGAGGAATTGAGCTCGATAGCGATTGGCTGCAACAAATGCTCTACTGCAATAGGTGCCCAATGGTATCTTGCTAAAGAATATGCAAAAATCGAAGAAAGAAGGACAACGTTGGTGGGCTTATTAGCAAAGGCTGAGAAGCTTGTTCGTCAAATAAACTTAAAAGGTGAAGTGCATCTGATGTCGGGACAGTTTATAAACGTCGATGACAAATATTTTGATATATAAGATGTCTCTTGACCGTCAGAAAAAGGTATTCAACATTCTACAGAAAAACTGACCCCTCTTTTTTATAAAATAATGACTCTCTCTAAAGAAAGATTATCTCCCTTTGAAAATCTATAAGTTTGACGCTCATCTAATTGACCTCAAACAGTAATTAACTACTGGAAGTTGGAAGTTGCTTTGTTGTCGCAACTCTCTTTGACTTTTGTTTAACATTAATCATTCCATGGATCTACTTCCTAGACTTAGAAATCAACTTGATGTACCAGAATATATGCAGACTTTTTACAGAAGCTGATATACTTTTACATACTTCATTTGTTGTTTTTTATTGAGTCTGATCAAGAGAGATAGATTAAAGATCTAACATCACTCACAACCGCTATCACCGACCGTATTAAAGCAGTATTCAATCCTTAACAAGATAAAAATATTGAACACATTGATACGGACGACCAGAAAATATGACAGTAGTGAAAGCACTAGGTCATTATTTACTGTTGCCAGATTATATTACTGACATAACCGACATTTTGTCCAATGGTATATTTAATACTCAAATGATCATGAATGAGTATCCTGCATTGTTTTTCATATCAAGTGGATGCATTAAGTTTGTCTTATCGTCACAAAAAGGACCAAGAAAAAATGAGGTGATACACAGGAAAATTTGCAAACAACAATTTATGTAGAAGTACATTTTGTATTGCACTTCTCATATAGTATATATTATAGGCAAGATTTTATCTTTTTAAGATTTTATTTCAATACAATGTATATGCAAAAGTCTTACAAAAGCGATAATACATACATTCACGCAAGAACGCACGCACGCACGCACATACATACATACATACATACATACATACATACATACATACATACATACATACATACATACATACATACTGGCTATTGAAATTTATAACAATTTAAAAAAAAAAAACATTCATACTCGTGTTGTTGTTTTTTGTATTGCATTTATATAGGTTTTCTCTTCCCATATGTACAAGTAAGTTTCGCGTCATTTAGGTATAGTTTTAGCAGTACTATCGTCTTTGTTGTCTCACAGCCTGTATTCTGGATACCTGTTGATCTTTTACACCTACAGTGTTCCTTGCCGGAATCTTTCTGGTTTTTACTTTGTCATTAAATGTCACACCCCCGCGTTTAGTTGTCGCACCTGATCCTTTCTTCTTTCCATCTGTATTGAACGCGGAGAAAATTTCCCCACAATTCTCGCACGGAGCACCAATCACGCACAAAATACATTGTCTGAAAATCGTACTGAATGAATGACAGCATATTTGAAAGGCTTTAGAAAACGGTGTTATACACCACACATGAGGGAACGCTGTGCATCCGAATAAACAACCGTAGATTGTAGCGAGAGGAAAGCCAAATATTAGCGAGACAAACCTATACAGACAGTTTTTACAGCACGTATAGCAGACGAAAGATTTAATCCAGCAACAATCAACCGTTCTAACCCCAACTGGTTCTCCAAGGACGTCCTCAAACTGAATCTGAAAGAAGATGACAAAATTTACTTTTAGATTACATGAAAAGTTCATCTACCTCAGAAAGACAATAGATACAAGCTGGATGTCTGTTGTTATTCAGGTAAATATAAAGGGACAATACAGGATATCCTCTAATTATAAGATATTAATACAATTGTATTTAGATTATTTGAACAACTAACAATGTCTGAATAAATATTTGCTCTACCATGTATTCAAATTCTTGCTATTTTGCGGGTCTTAAATCTAAGATCATTTATACACGACCAAGAACGAGTATGATATACACAGGAACTTAAAATTCTATCAAATAACCAATATTAACGATAATATCCAAAAATAACCCCTATATAGTGTTTATTTATACTAAAAAGGGGGTATTTTTTGGATATTATTGTTAATATTGGTTATTTGATAGAATTTCAAGTTCCAGAGATATATATACCAACTGGTCGAGCGGTTGGTCTATCGCTGCGGCGGCAGAAACGATGAATAAAAATGGCTTCGCTGTCAATGGTACATGTATCTGACGACATGGTGAAAATAAGCACCGAATTCTTTTGAACGCTCGCTGGCAGATAACAAATAATTTAACATCATAATTTAAGTTCTTCTTTGATAAGACTAGAATAAAATATAGTTTTCAGTGTGTCATGCAATGTTTTATTGTGGTTTGAAACCGCTGTACACCCATGCTCCATGATGAAGACAACACATTAAGTAACTTTGGTAGTAAATTATAGTAGCAACAAGAAGATTCTCATAATTAAAAGAAAAAGACAAACCTACCTTGACATGTTCATTGATAGATCTTGGATCTCTTGTTACAATCTGCACGTGTGCCTCGTCTTTCACACGAGCATCATTTCCTTTCTTTGTCTGCGTGCTCTGAAGCGCAGGACGACCGGTCCGTGGTGAGGGTCCTGCGATAGGTTGGACCTTTCTAGAGGCTACTGGCTTTGTTACTCCCATTTTGAAATATCAATTCTTACATGCTTCTAAACAATTGGGTATGTTTGAAATGTGGATGACCTTACGAGGATTGTGAAAGTGGGTTATATTTCAACTATAGACTGAGGATTATGAATTGTATATAATAATCCTCTAAAGAATTAATAACTTTCTTTTAAAGTTTATATATACAGTTGAAACTATCATATTGGGGGCAAGCCAGTAATTTCTACGTCTTTTGTTTTCTCCTTTTTTCTTTCTATCTTTTGTTGTTGTTGTTGATTTTCTTTTTTTTTGTTATCCTGCCATTTTAAGATATAATGACGATAATTGAAAGTTTATACAGTGAGTATATAGTTTATTAATATGTACTTCCGTGCAATAAGTTATTTTTGATTGTTTTTATTTTGATAACAGAAAACCCTAAAACTTATAATGAACAGTTTCAAATATTAAGCCGGACAAGCCCATTAGACATCAAGAAGGGTAAATATAAGTTCGACTACGGCCCATTATGACCAATATGCTATAAGTTTTACTTCTCAAAAACTTTTATTTTGGTAACTTGTTATACAGTAACCAAAAATTACTTATATGCCATAAAGATGAACTTTTGCTTCTTTTGCTCTGTTAGTCAGTTTGGTATAATTATGATAATGAATGAGTATTTTGTATGGAAGTCAAATTACTACTTTGTCTACATTTTGCTACTTTATGACACATTTATTACCGCGTGTTCGCGCTTCTTTCTTCAGTTGATAAACATCTAACATGCTCTCAATCCAATTGTTAAAACATTTCAAACACATGTTTGGCATTCTAAAGAATCTAGAAAAATGGATATCTGAGACATAATGTGCCTTTACATAAAAGAGAAATACCAAACTGACTATAATATTTCAATGCGAAGAGTTATTATAGGAGGTAATTTCAATTATATTGATGAATTATTGTAATTTGAAAAGAAAAATGACACTATACATGTATATCTGTGAACTTGTCTTTCAATATACATTAAATAATGGACAGTTCAATGTCTGATTAATACAATATTTATTTTATTATTCAATTTTACAGTCTTATCAATTCGTCCCTAAAGAATGAAAGTGGGTGTTAAAATGGTGCAATAACTTAAGTAAGACTTCTTTTCCATTTAAATTAAAGAAGATTAAAACTTAATTTCTATCAATATTGACACAGTTACAATATTTATTTTCAAATATTGCTACAATGTGACCATTTGGTCGACAATAATCAATTGAATTTTTCATATTTATATTAATTATATGATAATCGAAGTTCTCCTTGCACATATATAATTAATATAGAGGCCTACAATTGAAATGAATATATATGTATTCTCTATTTGATCGGTTTTGAGTCTCACATTTTATTTAACAAGGAACAGATTTTTTAAATAAAATAATCCCGTGACAATAAAGAACATGTACTGATTTTTTTTTGCAGTTGCAGTTTCCATAAATTTATTATTACAAGGGAAACAACTCTTCTGAGTCAAGAAATAACAACAATTTTTGATTGCCTACCTTTGCAATCTCTTTCAATGTAGTAAATGTTGAACATTTTCATTGCAGAATCGCATTAATCAAAAGTTTGCAAAATTAATTTCTTAATGTAGTTTCTTTTTGGCTCATTTGCCAGAACCTATATTTCTTATTTCATGTATCGGAAAGCACGTGTGTTCGATGTTTAAAACACGTATTTAGTTTCAAGGGCATGTTTACAATTATAATAGACGGGCTACATTATCAGACCATACTTTATAGATGTTCTTTCATACCTATCTCTCACAGTGCATTTAGTTTCACGTCTCTCAAATGACCAATGCTATCTATAAAATGGGCGCAATGTTAATGGAAAATACTGTAAAATTACTTCCCTGACACAGGAGCATGGGTGGTGAGAATCCGACCATTTATCTAATGTGGCGTTATATTATCTGCCACATTTCGGACATTCTGAGTAGCCACAAGCATTAAAGCAGGTAACAGGGCCGCGGATAACATGTATACAGTCTTCGAAAAGTCTGTATGGAAATGATCATTTCCCCATGAATATCATGAGATGCGTATCTAGATATGTCCCGCGTTAAATGATTTTAATTTAGCCGTTATTAAAATGATGAAATTCAAGATGAATACATTAGGTAATCGAGAATGTATACAGGCTGGTCGGACAGCACATGTTTTAGGCTGCCTGGACTGTCCACTGGTTAATGGTGGATATTATATGCTCCAATCTCCTGTATCACATATTGCGAACTTACCGTACTCATGGATTTTAATTATATTTGTAATTGAAGTCCGTGCCGTAACTTACTTCTGAATGAAGTATTTATATATTGAAAAATGTATAAATTTATTAATTACAAAATGTATAAATATGCGAACTATACATAGTAAGATAAAATTATGCAGATTTGAAATATGTTTTATAACATAATTCATAAAAGAAAACAAAAATGGGGTTTGTACGTAGTAATTGCGCTTTAATAAATGAATTAATACATGTATATATTTGATAAAAATAGACAGTCGTCAGGATAGGATATAATGGTTCGTGTATTTGACAAAAAATATAAAGCATGTTTCATGTACATGTTTATCATCATTCGCTTTTAGAACATTTTAAGTAACCATTGATTATAAAATAAATTTGGAAACGAATGGTTAAATAGTTCTGCAACAGAACCGTCCAATGAACGCTGTGCCTGTGTGAAAATATTTAAGACAAAATGGTTGCAAATGTCTTCTTCTTCTTTTTTTCTTTTTTTTTCTTTTTTTTTGCACTTCAGCACTCTCATTCGTTCGGCTTATCACCTAAGTCTACAATGATTACCTCTATGATTTTACGTGCTGATAAGCCTTCTGTTGTTATCAGGCTTTCAGTCATATGAGTTGGACCATATGTGAACTGGACGTTTGTTTTGACAACATCATAATTCTGTTTTCATTTTTTTTTTATTCATGAGTGCACGGAGTCATTTTTAGTTACAATTTTTCCTGTTCCTTTCCACGGTTTATTAATTTTTATCGTTTTAACAGTTGAAGGGTTCTTACACACTGCGTGTATTTTCAGGATTCACGTTTAAAAAGGTGGAGTAAGAGGAGTTCTAGGAGAATTAAAAAGCTCTTTGTCTCTCGCGGTGTGAAAGTGCTCCTGAATTTTGGATGATTGGTAATGATCGGCGTGCAGTGAGTGTGCAAATCGAATATATAATGCTGAAACTTTGTGGTAAGACGAATGCAGCGTAACTTTTAAATTTTGTATATCGTGTTTAATAATACGTTATATTAACGACGAATAATGTGATGAAAAACAAAAGTTCTTGGATTGTTATTTTATTATCATATTTTCATTAAAACGGTTTAAAATTCGAATGTTATTGGACTTATCTGGGAAGGAATATGTCCCGAGAAATGTGTCTCGTGGCGTCTGGGATACAATATAATACCCTTAACAACAACTACAGACAGACGAACGGACGCAGGTCAGTATTTCAAATAATATTTATACATTTTATAATTTATTACTTAGTTTCTGTATATGTTTTTTTTCTCTTATAACATAAAATGACTAAAATTGTGGTCATAAACTGTATACTTATAAACTGTATATTCTTACGCCCTTAATCTAACGTGCATCACAATCCAGGAAAAAGTCACGAGTCCGGAAGGATGTACTCGTTTTTATAAGGACACATGTTTACATTTATATAAAAAAATCCGCGCCTCTAACATCCATATTTAAATCAATATTTTTCTACATGCAATGTGTTTGCACTTGATCTGCAGCAGCTTTGTGCATTTGTACAGTGTGTACCAAATGTACAGTCAGCATGTAATTTATAGCACAAGTGTAAACATTTACTGTTATCGTTATCAGATCTAAGAAAGACGAAAGAAAACTCGATATTACTGTTCTCGTTGTAGCTTAAGCTGCTGCTGCTTTTTCTGAAGTTGCAGGATTTTTTTTAATGATTCAGTGTTTAAAATAGAGCTAACGATTAAAGAAATTGTCAGCATTACTCGATCTGTATCCTGTCACAATATAGAAATAATGGAAACAGAAGTCGTCGTCGTCGTCGTCTTTATATCTTATTCTGTTGCTCATTGCGTAAATGTATCGATATAAGTACTGGCTAGTGCTGCAACTCACAAAATTATTTCAATTTTAAATAAATTGTCATCATTATCAGTAGCTATTATTTCGAGCTTAGGTGTTGCAATCAGATCGTCTAGAATATAATAGGACATAACAGAATAGATATCACGTAGATATCCCATTTTGGATAATTAATATTTAAACATGAAATGGTGATTTTCTAAAATAACTCATTAAATAGTAGAATCTAGTTCATTATAAAATTAGGCTTAGTGAGTGTTATGCCTCAGTATCCTATATATAAATGCAACGATTTTTTTAGAAAAGCTGGGTATTTGTGCTCTGCCTAGTTGAATATGGTCGTCATATAAATTATATAGGCCCTACGTAGCCGAGGTAACTTCAAGTTTGTGACTCTGAGATTTGGAAGTCAACTCTTTTTTTAAACTCCTGCAAAAACTGGTGAAAATTTAGATCTATTACTCATGAGTCATGACCCCCTCTACTAGAAAACTAGTAAAGTGCAAACCTCCTTTGGAATATGTATTACTCCTTTAAATTGTGACCCACTTCGACAAAACAAGCCTTGATCTGCAGGCGCTTGTTTGGTATGGATGACGGTGGATATTTGGTTCTAGAAAGATCTATGTAGTTTGTAAAAGTTAGAAAACCTCTTTTTATTTGTCGAAGGGTGCTTAATAACAAAATAGATTTACATCGAAGCATTAATCTATGTATACAAATAATACACAGCAATCTTATTTTTAACAAGACCGACAAATAAACACGATTCAAATGAAAACATTATATATACACATTTCTTGCATATCAGACTGGTGTTTCCGTTAGTATTACCCATGATGCCATAAATTTTATCTGCCATGGGGGCAGGTGGGGTTGGGGCAGATGAATAGCAAAATAATGATGTCATTTTAGAGCATTTTATGAATGAACCGCGTTAGTTAAAATGACGTCATTTCGGCATTTTAAGAATGAATTAAAGTGCATGCTTAGGACGACGTCATTTCGCTGAGCTGAATTCATACGTCGGCTATTCTAAGAAAATAGAACTTTACTGATGACATGACATTAACTTCCATGAAAAATTGTTTTACTCAGGTAAAGAATTTAAAATATACATGTATGATAGAATATGGTAGAATATGCAAGAAAAAATAGATATATCTGACATGTGTAAAACTTGTGGTTCAGATCGGAATTTAGATAAGATTATGCACGGTCGTGCAATACCGTTTCTACGGAGTTGCAAAAGTGGCACGGGTGTGTGATAGATTATTAGTATCACAAATAGTATATCCTATTTGGTATCTGTTGTAACATATTTGTTCACACATATAATGTATATGTTGTATGGGACATCCGAAAAAAAGACTGCTTTGAGGTTCAGCTTAGAGTCCCGCTAATTATGATACCTGTTACTACTGAACGTTCTCGGACGAGGACAATGCAAATGCATGCATAAATTACTTTATATATAGATGTAATACATAGAGTTTTTAAAAGTAGGAGCAGAAGTTCATGGGCTGTGCTCTCTGTACACGTTTTATAAACTTCTAAACGTTCATGGGCCGTGCTATTTATAATTAGAAATATCTACTCAATGTATATGTTTAACTTCTTTTCTCATGAACAGACCAGGAATGCTTTCATACAACGTGCAAAGGTGTTAGGTTTTTTTTTTTCACTGTTATATTATTATAGTCTATAATAATATAACAGTGGATTTTTTTTTTAATATATTGATGTTTTAGTGCATAAATAACAAGGTTAAACACATTTTAGGTCAAATCAATGCCACTAGCACCTTTGACAACGTGGAGATATACATTAGATACTTGTCTGTAATACAAAAATCACAATTGACACCTGCTACTTCTTTAATTGCTTCCATTTTAACAAATTAACGAACGTAATATATGTGTAAAATCAATTGATGCCACATGGTTTTGACACATTTGAAGATTGAAAAAGATACAGCTAGAAAATAATTTTGCAGAGGACCTTCCTTGATTAGAGAATTAAGCTTTTGGTAAACCCTGTACTATCCATGGTCACGTGCTAGTCACGTGATAAAATACACACTTGAAATCAATAACTTCCGGATTGAGGAAATGAAGTTAAATATTTTGAAGACCTTTTGTTAATTTGACCCAGTTACTCACTGTAAGTTGTTTATTCTTGAATATTTTATCATATTATTCTGTGTATACACGTATGTTAAATTGTTATTATGTTCACGAGAGACGCTGCTTCAAAACAAAAAATGTCAGCCATCTCGACCTGTCAACTGATACTATAATTAGCTTGCGTGTTGCTTTGGTTGTCATGAGCCAGGGTAGAGCTCATGCCAGCCGTTTACAATCTTGCATGGGTGTACAATGACTAATTTTAATGTTCTTTATAAATACATTATTGATCTGTTGATAGTAGATCATTATAACTTTAAATATAAAGAAAGTAAAAGAAAGATTGTATTGTGACATAAGTTTTAACTTTTATTGTTATAAAATGTTTAAAAAAAAAAGAATGAAAATCACACAGTTATTCCATCCAGTTGGTTGAATAGGTAGAGTGTTGGACTGTGAATCGGCAACCTGAGTTCGATTCCTGGATGGCGCAGGTCACTTTTGTTGTGATTGATCATGGAAATCCTTTCTAGAGGGTACTGGTTGGGGACCACCAAAACCGGACAACCACCAAACCCGGACGGCCCCGAAAATGCTTAATTTAGTATTTTCTTTGTTCAGTGGTTGTCAGTCAATTTTTTATCAACGATAAGTGCATGTTTCTTTTAAAATTAAGTAAATAAATTTATTTCAACCTCCGTAAATGGTAATATTTTAATGTTTATTTCAAGAATGTTGACGTTGAAATTTGGGGGCCAAGAAAGCAATGCCTGACCTCATATACCAGCGATAATCATTTGCAGAGTGAATAATAGAATATCCAAAACTTCAGCATTTGTTGCTGACATATTGTATATCATGTTAAAAATCAAAAATCAAAACATCCAAGCTTTTATCTGAATTAAATCATATCATGTACATATCTGTCCGGACACATGGTACTGTAGTGTAGACAATTTAGGTAATTTTGATACCCTCCTTGTCGAGCCTCAGATATAAGTGTCAATACAATCAGAAATGAACAAACTAGTTTGTTAGTTAGGAGAAGAACCTAGCTGAACTGTGTCAAATTTATTGGTCTCTACGTTAAAAATTATGAAATCTGTACGGAAAAATGTTCCAAAAGTGTCCGGTTGATGGTCTCCGACCAGTACAGTCTTTCACGCAGTACATCTGCATTGGCATGTACAAATGTTATCAGTTCCTATTGAAAGTGAAGGCAACTAGGTCTGGAAAACTGCTTGATGAATGATGTGGTATCTGGTCCATTTTGCTGTGTATGGGGGTCCATTTTAATGTTCTGGGTACCATTCCTTAGTTGAGATACTGTATTAAGTATTGGTAGAAAAGAACAAATTATAAATTTTACAAATTTATGATATCAACTTTCCCAACTGAATTCCTTCAGATAAATATCAATAAGATCCAGAAGATCTGTTGATCTGCCCCTGATTGTTGGCATGATTAGTACAGCATTACATAAGCCCTTATGCCAAGGTTCATGCAAATTGTAATGATGTTTTGAAACCTACAGTCCTTCACCTATCATGACTAACATAGTCCTTGTTACTAGTTACTGCAGGAAGTGAATTGTGTAACTCACTTCCAAGTTCAAGCATTTGATTCATGGTTATTGCTACTTTTCTATGAAGGGGATACTACTTTTATCATTGAATCCTCATGTCATACACAAGTTTATTACAGTAGGAAGATATAATCCTTATATATTTATAATGTTCACACCATAGATCAGTGCAGATTTCTTCAGTTGGATCAGCTAGTTTTTATACTAATACTTACTTCTCATAGTTGTGTATTCAATAGGACATTTTGGAAGATTTTGTTTTCATTAATCTTAGTCTACATTTAATGTCCACATTTAATGTGCTTAGAATAGAGATATGCTTTTTTTTTGTCTGAATAAGCATTCGGCAGTAATTATTACAATTTTGTGTTGCCTCTAACTTTTTGTACCATATATATGTGTATATGTAAGGAAATCTTTCTGATGCAGATTATATCTTTGACGATGTATAAATTAATTGAATAAATTATAAATTATATATTTGGATGTGCAGAACTGAACCTTTTCTGATCTATATTATTGTGTGAATGCAAAGGTATCATTAAGCAATTTGAAGTAAATAAGCCCTTAGAATTCTTTAAATATTGTGATAACAAGCTTTTTTAAGTATCTCTTATCTTTGTACCATAGTAGAATATTGTAGTGAAGTTTCAGACCATTGATTTCTTGGTTCATAAGGAAGTATCAGGCTTGCTACATGTATGATGAACTGTGTTTTTTTCCTTCAAAAGCACTGCAAATTATGTCAGATATAGCCTAGTCTGTCAATTTAACAGATGATAAGGATAGACTCACTGGAATATCATTTGATATCATATGACAAAAAGGATCGTTTCCTGCCAAACAAGGAACCAGTGTCATCTAAACATTTAATGATAACTTAATCAAAAATACTGAGTGGTGTCCATGGCCGAGTAAAGCTGGAAATTCCCCATATGACCTATACTAGCTGTGCTGGTGCAACGTAAAACCCAACCAAAAAAGAAAGAAAAGGAAAATAGGAAGTACTGGCTTTGGAGTAATGACACTGTTTATACATTTTTAATTTGCAGAATAAGTGCAACATGAAAAAAATGTTGTATGCATTTCTCTGATACCTATAGCATAAAATATCCATTTAATATAAAATTGTCATCTTGTCAATATTTCTATTTTCAAAAATCTGAATGCAGCTCAATGTTTCTTTTTCAAAAATCTTGAGTTTCAGGCACAATGATTTTATATTTCAAAAAATCTGATGAGTACAGCTTAATATTTTTAATACTTTTCAAAAAATCTTGAGTATGGACATAATAGTTTCTATTTTCAAAAATTGACTGGACAATGCCAGTCAAATATTTCTCTTTTTACAAAAAAATCTGAGTGCAGGCTCGTGATAATGAAGATCATATGAGGAATGTTTGCCCAAATAAACATCAGAACAGAATTAGATAGCTATTATGACAGGAATACTATGTACCTGATGTTACTCAGAGCTCTTATTATGATATGAAACACCATGCATCATGTTATGGACCACAGTGACACAGCTACTTTTAGCAATTTCTTCTACATTTCTCTCTGGCTAATATTTACATGTTAAAAGTATATAAAGTTTCTACTTGGCCCAGCTCCTTTTAAATAGTAACAACAGTCACTGACTACTAGTTGCCATAATAGAGGCCTATATAAGGAATGTGCGGTCCAGCTTGATTCTACACTGTTACCACCTTTAACTTTTGCTTTTTAAAAGCTTCTTGAATTTTTACTTCTTAAAATTGAAGAAATCTGTTAAGTCAACAAAAGATAGCTTCAAATACATAAAATAAAGTCAATGTTTAAAGATAGAAACTAGACAGATGTGTTCAGTAACAATATGTTGCAGCTTAGGAATGGGTTGCTGAATATTGCATTGATATTAAAAAGTTGAAATAGAATAATCATTTTAATGATATTGTAGTAGTTTCAAACCTTACAAGCATTACTGTATAGATGTAGTAAAATTATATGAGATTGAAAATGGCTATTGAGATAAATATGATTAAATTAGATTGATATGCATATATGAGGTTAATATGTTTATTAGACGCCGCTTGTAAGCGGCATCTAGTAGATATGCATTTGTCCATACAGCAATGGGGGAAATTTTAGACTTAATTTTGTGCATTTTTTTTGTTTTAACAAAATCACACTGTTCTCACATTTTCTAATAAAAATAGTTTTTCTGATGTACAACATGTCAGTTTGTCACAGAGCTTTAAGGGATTAGAATAAACGTCAAACTGAAATGATAGTGCCATGTTTGAATATCATATTCTTTTTATCATTATCTAATTTCATCTACATAATAAATAACGTGCCAATGAGCCATTCTATAGTCGATCGTTCTAAAACTTAACCGTTGAAAGAGGTTACGACTGAGGGAGTGTCATTTACTTCATTTGCTCCGCCTCTGTTGAAGTTCGGCTCCGCCTTAAATTGTCGCGAAAATTTAAAATGATGCTCCGTTGACGGGACAGAAGGGAACCAGGACAACTTTGATCAATATCACTTGTCAAATATATCATTAAATTACAAGTCACAAAGCCTAATCCACCCCCGCTATCAGAGAGGCGGTTCTTCCGCAACCGTAAACTCGTTACGCTACGGGCAGTAAGGGGAAATCACTGCAGAACAGTTCGTCCTCAAAATCATTCGAACTGTATGCAATTCGTACCAATATTTAAATGTATATCTTCTCTGCACATATTGTCTTGAATTCATTATAAAAGTATACCAATCATTTCAATTTTACTTGTTATCCAATTTATTTTGCTTTTTCATTCAATCTTTGACATTTCAATCTTTGTCGGCGACAGACAAACATTTTATAATTTCAGACATGGCATTACTTTGTGAATTTATGCATTAGGTTCTACTTTTTCACAAAAATATGCAACTTTATTATTAAACAACGAGCTTAGAGAAAAATTGATTTGTGCTTTGGATATTCAACTGTAATAGAGAAGATTTTCAATGCTGATAGACTGTTCACATCATTTGGCGGGGTCTTTGATGTGCAGCATCAACATTTAACTTGTATAAGTTTGATATGCATACAAATGTATATGTATGTATATGAGATTAATATGGTTATATAATTTTGATATTCATATAATGTATATATATATGAGATTAATATGGTTATTTAAGATAGCTGCATGAGAATAAACTAATTATATGAGAATGATATGGTTATAAATTATAAGAAATTAATGGTTATATAAGAAATATATGGTTATAATATATGAGATTAAACAGCTGTAATTTCATTATCTATTATTAAATATTTGAGGTATCTGTGGATGAGTGGTTGAGGTTGTTGACTCCAAACCAATTGCCCCTCACTAAATGGGTTTGAATCCCAACAGGGACTTTGGAATCTTTCATGACTGTGTCCAGCTAGCTTATGGAATGTTGGTAGTTCTACCAGTACTTAGGTGCCTAAAATAATGCATGGAAGGCACCTGTAGTCTTCCTCCACCAGTAAAGCTGGAAAGTCGCCTATATGATAATGTATATGACTTATACTGTGTTGGTGCCACTTAAAACCCAACAAACAACAAAAAACAAACAAAAAACCCAAAAATCAAATATTTAAATTATAGTACATATTGGCTCACAATAAGTATTTATTAACCCAATTTACATTATTTTATCAAAAATATATAACCTTACATTTGTAGGTTTGAAAATCAAGATAATGATTCTCTTTAGAACCTGATATCTAAAGACCATTCATTTAAAGCCTTGTTGAAGCTTTATGGGTAACCTTCCTTCTATTGAATATAATAGTACTGGAGAAAAACAAAAGTTTATCCTTATTATTTATGGTTATTTACTTCAGTGATTAACTTTAAACAAACTTGGTATTATCTCAGGTTAAGGACCAGTGTAAATAGTATATTATCTATATAGACACACCTTGGTTTAAAAGGTTTTACACCTGGTTGGAGATCTGAAAATGTTATTCTTAAGGAAAACATTGCAAGGGTTTTTTTATCCATTTTTGTATTGAGAAGAAATAAAAATCTGTGCTAAATCCCCATTAGTTCTCAAGAGGGGTTTAAGTTTCTTCTTTTTTTTCCAAAGAATGATTTGTGAAAAATAGTTACTTTCAAACTTTATACTCAATAGAACTTTTATCAGTCACAATAGAAATTTGTGTACATGTATTTATATGTTGAAGAAATTATTTCATTTATACTGTTGTTTTTAAATGAAAACAACAGTGCAAAGTGTGTACTTTATACATTTAATCATTGTATGGTCAGTAACAACAATGTAACAATTGTTACAGCATAATGACACTTTAAAAGACAAAGCACCTTTATCTTATTCATTTTTGAAAAGAACAATGACTAAAAATTTGGTTTAACATTTTTTATCCAATTTTATTCAGAATTGTTGAATGTTTCTTCTATGTGAAACTGTATATTAAGATAAAGTCATGTTTGAAAGACATCTTAAGCTTCTAGCTTAAAAATAAAGAATAAAAAATATCTGCAGTCTTTGACTGTCTAATTTTAAATTTCATCTTAATATCTGCATAATTGATGGACAGCAGTGAAAGGGTTTTGATATTGGAATTCCTTGCAGTGACAATGGACTCTTCCAAAATTCTAAACTGGACAAGACCATTGCTAAATACCCTAATAAAGGATAAAGTTATGCCAACATATATATATTTAATATTGGGATGGCTTCACATGACAGACAAACATTGTTAATCTACCTTTAAATGTTTACACCTGGCTTGAGATTACAAAAATGCGGCCACCATATGAATTAAAATATTTAATACCACGTTCAGATCTGTGCCATCATGGTAAATTAATTTTGTATACAAGGACAAGAAATTAAACAAAAAATTAACATATTATGTGATTATACAGCAATTATTTAAACTGTTTTATGAATGGATAATTTCAGTCGGGAATAAAAAAATAACAACAACAAAAATAAACCATATGTGGGATATTTAAGGAATTATGGACTTAGTTTAGATCTGTTATTATTTACACCAAGACTGTTTTTAAATTAAAATTTAAAAAAAGTTTAAGATGCAAAAATTGTAAAATTTGTGAATATTTGTGGAATGTTATTCAGTGGAGTATAGTCATTGCTTATTGAATTATATCAAATTTGAAGTAAAATTCATGATATATGTTATTGAAGACATGTGTTTTTGGTAATAGTTTTGCTATGTGTGTATAACTGCAAGGCATTTATGTAGAGTGCATTTTATTCATAAACAATTTGTGAAAAAAGGGAAATTCAAGAAGAACATTAATTTTATGTATTATTCACTTTATATTGAAATAGATGTAGGTTTAGTGAGACACTGTGGACACTGAAAATATGATTCACATTTATAATGGAATACATGGAGTTTTGAAAATGGATATCAGACAATGATTTAGGAAGCTGGGTAGTGCAATAGTCAGGGATAGTTCAAGGTTATAAGCAATAGTCAGGGATAGTTAAAACTTTATAAAAAATAGTCAGGGATAGAAAATATGCCTAAAAGTAAGAAAAAGAAAAATGCTGATAAAAATGGAAACACTAACATCACTAATGCAAGTTTGGATGACTATTTTAGGCTCACCATGGCAACCGGTGCTCCTGTCTACAAGATCATCTTGTGCGGGGAATATGGGGTCGGGAAAAGCTCACTGTTCCGGCGGTTTATGAATGATACATTTACGACGGAACGAGGAAAAAAGTCATCTATTGGCTTAGACCAAGCCTCACAGAGTTTCTATGTGGCAGGGGAAGAAGTAAAGGTATGATCTTATTAAGTATCTTTTAATGTTTTATAAAGGGTATAAGCTAGTACATCTGATGATTCAAACAAGTATTATGTTAAGTATTGTGGTTTATGTTTTTGTGAAAAAACACTCCTGATACATTTGCTATTATTAAAAAATGGGTAGATTCATTGCAGACAAAGTTAGGAGGGGTTTCAAACTTTAAACCTACAGCAGATGAAATTGAGAGGAAACAGGACTTTTAATTATCTTTAAAAGAATATCAAAAGTTGTATTAGTTGTGACACACAAAAACTTCAAACAATATTAATGAACCTTGAATTGATTTCAGTGTATGTTTATACAAGTACCAATTTAATGAAGATGAATCTGAAATCTTTCTTTTATTACTTTTGTTTTTAAAGGAGCTTTATAATTCATTGATATACAAATATTTAAATGTTAAAATAAAACTTAATAGACCCATAGAAACGTAACAAAATGGATTGTAGCATGTGACTAAATCCACACCTGCACTATTGTGATTTGCTATTTGTTCACAGTCCATATTGTGACCTAAGTGACAAGGACCCCATGATAGAAATTCACCACATTTCCAGTGCAGTTAATCATGCTGTTCACTTTGATCACGTTTGTATTTAGTCAGATCAAAACATATAAAATATGAATATTTTTTATTCAGACTTTAAAACAGAAGGTGGACCAGAGTAACCATGTAAATGTAATTTTGCTTGGTGAGGGTTAATTAGCTCACTTCTAGATATTCACAGCATTTTAGTTTCCTCTGTGAATGTCAAATACAATGAAGCTATAAAAAAAATGAAACACCATGGGAAATGACTTGCCTGCAATTATTTTACAATTTTATTTCAAGGTTTTTAGTTTATTTGATGTTATTTTTTGTCTGTGATAAATGTCTTTTTAACTTCCGTTGCTTTGTGTCAGTTCATTGATTTAAAGTTTCTTGCTAACAATATGAAATATTGAAATTATTAACTGTAATTAAGTAAGAAATGGAAAATTGTCTAGCCCATAGCTGATATTGCTCTATATGTGTGGCAAAAATAGGTTTGTTATTATAATTTGTTTTTGGTTTAATCAGATATCCAAAGAAGGCATATTTCATATAGCCCAAGAATATTTAAAGTATCAATTTCTTATCATTAACATTAGTCATCAAAGCTCAAGTTATTCCTGTCTGTGAGTTTCTTTTGAAAAAGTAAAGTTGCTATTTTTTGTGCATTATGTTTGTACACTTTTTCATGCAGTATTTACTAATCTTATTTATTTATTATTTAGTTAGACTGTATGGACTTATGTAGTATACAGGTTCCATCAATGACTGGATAATTAGCTATGTAAACAGGATGAACTCAGATTACTTATAATAATTGGCTCTGTTTTGCATTAAGCTAATTACAGAAATTATAGCTGGCTTGTTATATAGTGCACATTATGTACCGTAGTTGTCCTGTTAAGCGTACCCTAGATATTTATGGTAAATTACATATATTTTGGTAACGATTTTAGCTGTTTTACAAAACTGTTTAGAATTGCATGTGTTCAGAAATGTTTACTATATCATGAGAAAAAACATACATGTTGTAGTTTTGTTCAACATTTGGGCGAATAGTTTGTGTGTAAATTGACAATTAGATGTAAGAACCATAACTCTGTCTGTCCATGTACTGTTGTATGACTTTAGGTTAAATACGGTAGGTCCAATGCAGGAATTAGGTTCATTATGAACATTGTAAAATGCCCATGGGATTATCTTGATCTCTTTGTTTGTTATTATTATTTTGTATTATCTGTTGGGTAACTGAATCATATTTGCACTGATGTGTGATATACTGATGATATCTGTTATGATATCACAAATGATATCTGTATGTCTTTATATGATATCTTTACTAGATATCTTTATTTGATATCAATAATAAAACTGTTCCAATCTGCAGAGCATAGAATATAATTGCCATTGATGAAAACAATCTTTGTTCATAGGTGGTCGGTCACCTGCTCAACAGGTTGGGTTACATTTACTTTTTAAGTTCTTTTGATATGAAAAAAGCAAAGCACATGTAGTCACCTTAAAAACACACAGGTTTAAAATTTGTATGATTGCAAATCGTTTACAGTATAGACTTGACTGTAATTTTTTAAGCTTTGGAAACATACTTTTTATTAGGTTGTCATATGGCTTTTAGCAGTTGAGGCAGACAACTTCTGCAATTACCTCTGTCAACAGGCCATGTTCAGAGTAGACTTCTTTATCTGGACTATTCCAAAATTAGGAAGAGCTATTGTACTTACCCATGTGTTGGCATCGGCAACGCACTTTGGTTAAGTTTTTGAGTCAGAGTGCAAGTTGTTATCTCCAAAACTACTGAAAGAGAATGGGTTGAAACTTCACACACTTATTTGAGAGCATAATAGGAGGTCACTTTCCAAGGCACATAACTCTTAACATGAATTTTGACAGAATTATGACTCTTTTGAATCATGGTTACCTGCTTCAAGGGACATTATTCATAATGTTAATGGTTTGAGTAGTACTAATAGGCAAGAACTCTAAAGCCATGACAGCATGTAGAAATCTGTTATTAAACCATTCCAAAAATGGCAAAATCAAATCAGAATATAAGTCCATTTGTCCATTAACATGATGTTGGTTAGCATTATTTATTTATGGAACTTACTGATTAAGTATTCAAAGTTCTAAAGTGTATTTATCATAACCAAGTGAAAATAAGTTGCATTGAAATACATGTATTTGGAAGTGCAATAAATTAGAGTAAGCATTTTTTTAATGTTCATTTTGAAATTATGCACCTTGATTTTTAGTACTTATTAACCTATAATCTTATTTTATGTGAACTTTTCATGAATCAGTTTGGACATTTAGATGCATGTTTATGGTTTATTTGAAGTTTATCAAATAAGTGAAATCTAATGAACTGTTAAGTTTAAAGTATTTCTTATTGACCAGTATTTGACAAGCCCAACATTTCGTAAATCATTAAAGTTTAAGTCTTTCCTGTGACCCTGTTTACTTTACTAAAGTGTTTGTAACAAATATCTGTTTTCATTTTTTATGACCGCTTAAAGATTTATTAACCTTCACTTCAAATTCTTTTGGTACTTTAACTTAATAAAATAAAGCAATTATAAACTCTGATTTACCCCCCTGTAGTATGGATGTAAATATTTACAAAAATATATCATTTATGAAATATTTCATTTGGAAGAAGATGACTTCTTTTAAAGGTCCATTATGCCTCCGAAATGCTTTAATTTTAAATTTTGGTGTACTTTTACAATTTCTAAAAAGTTCCTAATCAGCCACTCACCTGAAAAATCTTTTTCTTTCCAGTATGTTGCTATTTGGCAATAAGTGTAGTTATAGTGAGTTTGTATTTTGTATTTATTGTAAAAATACCATTTTGTTTACATTTTGCTTCTTTTAAAACAAATTATTTCACATTTAGCATTACTTTTTCAGGTAACAAGCATCTAACATGCTGGAAAACCATTATTTATACATTATAAAATTCATGTTTGCAATTTGTAAAGAAGTAAAAATTCATTCATTTTTGAGGCATAATGTGCCTTTAAATGATTAATGCTTGCTATCAGTGTTCCTTAATAACATAAAAATTCTCATATGAATAAACAATACATATATCAGGTTGGCAAATCCACATGGCTATGGGACAAAATGCACAGCGTAAAGAATCACAGATTCTGGTAGATATTAATTTTGTCAATATCTTTTTTCCTTCAAATGAAATACATAAACCCCTACAAGTTAATCACTTTCCTCCTCTGTTACTGGCTATGTGTGAAATTCGATTTATCTGTATTCTATGTTGAATTTTTTTCATTCTCCAATTTGGTTTGTAAAAGATTGGAGAAAATCTGAAAAATTTCACTCAAAGAAGGTAAAAAGGGAATAAAAGTCCGTAACCGTGGCAGGGGTTAATGCAATGTGAAGAAAAACTATTCAATACTAACAAAGATATTTAAGAAGAACAGATCAGAATACTAGTTGGTGTTATATATTTCTAGTGATATCCGTCAATGCCATGTGTGGTTTGCCACCCTATATTTATTTGTTGAGTCAGTGCATAAATATGCAAAGGATAACAAAGAAATATACTTTAAAATCGATTTTTGTGCAATAGTGATTATTCTGATAAAACAGGTTGAGGGAATGATGGGAATATTTGTACACAAGTTATTGGTCCAGACCTTCATCAATTGGTACACAAATCTAAAAAAAAAATAATTTCCATTCCTGTCATCTCATAAAACCTCAGTGGTGTCCCTTTAAAATTCAGTAGATAATAGTTAAAGGTCTTGTCAAGAACAGTCTTGTCTCTATACTGAAGGTATTGGGCAGTTGCTATTGCTGCTTAGTGCCCAGACAGTAAAACTCTCAGGCTTATCAGTATAGATCAATATTAACACCTGTCACTTTGTTTGTATTTACTTTCATGATGTGACTCAACTATTACAGATAGAGTCATTGGCTCTTTGTTCTTTTTATCATTTCTGTTCAGCTGTTGATTATACAAGGAAAATATTTTTTTCTATTCATTATAAATGAGTGAAATGATCAGCTGTTTCAAATATTGTTGATAAAAATTGTTATTTATTGGTCACTTTCACAATAAATTGAGAAGTGTCACGACAAAACCAACATAATGGGTTTGCGACCAGCATGGATCCAGACCAGCCTGTGCATCCACGCAGTCTGATCAGGATCCATGCTGTTCGCTAGCAGTTTCTTTACTTGTTATAGGGTCTGTAAGCAAACAGCATGGATCCTGATCAGACTACGCGGATGTGCAGGCTTGTCTGGATCCATGCTGGTCGCAAACCCATTATGTTGGTTTTGTCATGACACGGCTCAATTAAGTTCTTGTGTTCAACATATTTCATCTATTATAATAATTATACTACATCAAAGTTTAGAAATAAGGTAATTGTTTACATCAAAAACAGTTTGA